CTATTTTCGGGGAAACCCCCATTCTGGTCCAGGGGGGCTTAGGACCGGTACGTCTGAGTTCAACTGGATGTGGGGATTTCGAGAGCAGGAGTCGCCAGGGCCACGGAATACAGTGACAGGGCCTTTCGCGCGAGTTGCGCGGAGCGCAGCTCATGGGTGGAAAGCGGCTCGTTAGAGGGCTCCCACCAAACTGAAGGGCTTCGCATCGAGGTCAACTGCTGAAGCAGTGGAGAAGCTGGGAATGCTCATGAATAGTCGATTCCCACGGTAGAAATCCCGCGTGAGCTCACGCAAGACATCGCCATACGTCGGGTTTGGAGTGCGCATGCCAGCAATGGCCTTGGCCAGCATGTTCGTGAGAAAGAAAGCTCCTCGCATTCCTGGACCACTTTGATCACACCACGTCTGTTGAGTTTCTCGGTCCTTGCAACCTGCTAAGCACAAGACGCTGGCTGCACACTCCCTGCCTTTCATTTCATTGCGAATCAAAGGGCGCTTGTCGAAGCTGAAGCCCGGGGGCGGTGGCTCCTGTCGTCGTGCACGTGCCATCTCATCATCCTCCACCTTAACACTGTAGGAGTGCTTCAGATCCGTCATGGTTCCGCTGTGACAAGCATCGAAGATGGTCGTGAGGCGCACCCCCTCAGGCAGATTCTCCAACATCTTCTCAAAGATCTCGTCGTCGCTGATGCCTCTGCCAAGGATATCGTCCGCCTCCTCTTTCGGCAAGGAGCCCTCGAGCGCAGCCTCGAAATTGGGATGCTGCCCTTGGGGCACGGGGCACATGTGCTCGTCTTTGCCGTCCTCTTCGTCACCGTCCGTGTCTCGGCTCTGTCCACCATGGCCGGCAAAGAAGAAGAGCAGATTGTCTCCAGGCTTGGCATCTTGCACCAGCCAACTCATGGAGTTCAGGATGTTCTTCCGGGTGGGCGCCTCATGCTTCACAGCCCAGCCGCCCGGCTTCTTGGCATCAGTCAAGATCCTCAGCTCTGGCGTCCTGACCTTGGCATGCTGCAAGGCAGCCTGGATGTCTTCTAAGGCCCCAACGGACCCAAGGAGAACATCAAGCCGACCCATCATGGGCACATGGCGCTTACAGCTTTGGTATGTCGGTGCAACTAGAACGGCCTTCACAACCGGTGCATCATCCGGCACCATTGGTACAGCGGGGATTGGCTGCTGGTTCGGGAAGGGCTCCATAGTCCCCATACCTCCCGTGTCTGGTCCCAGGCCTCCCATGGCCTCAATCTGTGCATCGAGTGCGTCCGACTCGGCAAGAGCTGCCGCCAACTTGGCTTCCATCTCTTCCAGAGATGTGTGCGCAAAAGCAGGATCCTTCTTCAGGATGGCATCCATGTCGAAGGTTTCATCTCCCAGGGATTGGACGTTACCCAAGGAGCGCACCTCTTCTTGGATTGCCAGCTCCTCCTCTCGACGGATACGTTCGAAGTCATCCATGGGGATCTCTTCGGAGGCGATGTCAGGAGCTACGCAGCAGGACAGCATGAGGGCTTGAGCGCTTCGCGGGCTCCGGTAAGAGCTTGGCTTCTGGTGTGTCTCCCCTCTCTGGGGAGAACAAAAGGCCCACAGCGGTCAGCCTGTGTTTTGGGGACGTTGAACCCGTCCCCTGCATGTGATGCGACGACAATGAGTCTGATGATCATATTGATACTGCTGGTGTCGATGGTGATGATCATGGTGATGATCATGGTGATGATCATGGTGAGGATCATGATCATGATGACAGTGATGATGGTGATGGTGGTGAGAACGGTGATGGTGGAGATGGTGCGATGTTGACGACGATAATGAAACGGCTCGTTGCGAGTCGCGAGCCTCGGATCTGCCTGATGGCTTTAATTACAAAGAATGAATCAGTGCCCTTGACGGACCTACAATGGCAAGGGACGGAGCGAAGCAATGGGAGGCAAAGGATCCTACGAGCAGAAGCCAGGGACAAAGAACATGTAGCAACTGTGCGACAGTATGTGACAGTGGCATATCACTGAATCGTGCTCGTTTGTGACTTGTCAATTTGCAGTGCTCTGCAGCGCTGTTCGATACTTACAATGCTTCGCATGGGCCACGTTCCGTGCCTGGCCCAGTCTGCAGGTTGGAGGTGTTGAAAACGTCAATCTGCCTGTGGACGCATCTGACAGTAGGGTCGCAAAAAACCCTGCAAGCACGAAGCACAGGCTTCACTACCAGAACAGGACTCTATGCTGCTCGGGGAGCAGTTGGCCTGAGCCCTGCGGAACACGGTAACATACGGCAACGGCAACATGTCGCAACTCGGTGACTCTGATAACTTTGCTCCCAAAGCTCTACTTCTGACCTACACAGTGGCGCAACGGTCGGCGAAATGGTGTTCCCTAAGCCCTTTTTGCAACTGGAACCCTAAACCCTAACCCCTAAACCCGAGTGCACCGGAGGACCCGACATGATCTGACTGTCCGTATGCCCGGCCGCACCCGAAATCCAGCGAAGTCGAGGGTGGTCGAGCCTTGGCTGCGAAATGCTGGCAATGCACGCACCTTGGCCTTGGCAGAATACTAACTGCAAGAATCAGTGCAATCAGTCATATTCGTAATGACGAATCATAGTAAGACTAACAATAAGAATATTGACAAATTCCACATCCCCGCGAAAGTGCGGGCCGTGCAGCTCCACTCCGCGCCAGTTGCGGCCCTTAGCAGCCGGGGCACCTGCAAAGCCTTGGGGAAATCGATGCAAAAGAGCCACAAGGAGAAGGCGGAGCTCTCAAAGATTAGGGGGCAAGGCTCGCGAAGTCTGAACGGGGCTCCCCATTGGGTGTAATGGGTTTTTACGGGAACAAAACTCCTTCGCAGCCTCCGCCTTTGCTGCCTCTACTGCGTGCGGCCGCGAACGGCGAGCGCTCAAGCTTGCGCGCGCGCACGCCTTTTGGGGTGGGCCGACGGTGTGGGGAAGTCCACGGAGGCCACTCAGCTTCGTTCTGCTTCGTGACGCAGGCTGCTGCGCTGAGCCACGCTGGGCTTCGGAAAGCCCTGGAGATGGCGACAGAGTCCCCTACCCCCTAATAATAAATAGCCCCCATATGCCCCCATTATACGAATGGTTGTGTTACAGTATATGGGCAACCCTCCCTACCCCCTAATCTTAAATACCCCCCATTCTAGTTATGTTACAGTTTATGGGGGGGGGGCATTTAATACGGGGGTAGGGGGTGGGGGTTAATATTAGGGGGAGAGGATTAAGATTCACCAACGCCTCACCAACGCGACCTCGGTCATTCCAACTCATGGTTTTTGTTGGCCTCGGGCTGGCCCTCTTGGCTTGCGATTTGCCTGCCGATTCTGGGATATATCCGGAATCCGGACATGAGAGATAAAAAAAAACAAGGTCTAAAAATCACGAAGAGCCGCAGTCTTCGCCGCGCCTTCTTCCCGCAGCTTCGATACTCTTCTCCACCTGGCCCAGCCAGTGCTGCCACATCATGCAGCGCAACGCTCCTTCATCAAGGCCTCCTTGTCGCAGTCGTCGCCTGAGAACATGCGTTCTCGTGTGTTTTGCAGCCACTGTGTCTTACAAACCATGGAGAGAAGATGTTGCGTGCGATGAAGGACGTGCTTCGCCTCGTGGGGTACCCGCACGTGAGGCAGGTCCCTGGGGCAACTCAAGCCCCACTTGCTCCTGGGAAAACGCACATAAACGAACCATGCAACGCATCAAAAAATTATCCCGGAAGGACCAAATTACCTAATCAAAACCAAACAGATATTCTCATGTTACGAACCGTTGTTTCAATCTCCATTACCATCCATCTTGAAAATATTCAAAAATTTGATGATTTGCCCACACTTCTTCCAGACCTTAATTTTATTTTCCCATTCAATAATATATATATATATATATATATATATTTATTTATTTATATTTATATATCATCGATAGATTCGATAGACCTCCTCGAATCTAATTTTTATTCAAATAAGATTTCATATTTTCTTATGGTCTTCTTATGGCCAGTTCATCATGAGAATACGAAATCGTTTTCTCATGTATTAAGATATATATATATATATATAATATATATACGATATATGATAAATGAAATGTATAAAGTTTCAAAATCATAAGGAAATCCGAATATATATATGTATATATGTATAAGTTACCAACATAAACCCTGCTGCAAACAGGAAGCAAAAGCAACTAGGCAAACGAAACCAACTGCCAGGCATTTCATCGCATACTCCCTCACCTGATTTCTTAACGGTGAAAGTCCGCCCAAAATGCCACGCAGAACTTCCAGCAAATCCTCAAGTTGTTTGGCCCAGTTCAATGCATGTGTAAAGCATCTGGTCCAACATCAACGATCCACACTAGGAGTCTTCCAACCATGCTGCTGCGCGGCAAGGAATACCCGCTATGGAAAGTGCTTGGGGGTAGACCAGGTGTTGGGCAAAATGGGCCAGCCTTGGGTAGCGCTCCAAATCATGCACAAGCCCAGCAACTCGATTTCCTGCAACAGACAGGCGGTCGGGAAGGGAATGGGTAGGATAGGGATTACCGGCTAAAGTGAAGAGTCACAGCCACACAGTCACGATTGATGTCTGTGCTCCTTGCCAGCAGGGTGGCCGGCCGCATGGAGCCGTGCGATTCTCAGGCAATTCAATTGCAAGTGCGAAATTCCGAGTTTCAAATGCAATTTCGATAATCATGGCAATGCTTTTTGAGGCGAACTCTTGGAGACTCAACAAAGATTCGATGCAACGACCGTTTAAAAGGAAAGCAGGACCAGGTGCTGAAGTGACATTCCTGCTGCATTCGGACCGTTGCACCATAATGTGCACCATGCGTGACGCGATGCTACCAACGACTCCAAGCAACATGCCAAGCTCTCGTCGCCCCTACTGGGCGCAAGCTGAGCCATCAAGCAGCGGGAAGCCGCCAATTTCAGGCACATAAGATGCATCTTCTTCGACAGGGTGTGCAATGGCGCGCACATGTTCTTCATATCCAACACTCATGAAAACACGCAGACGAGCAACATCCTCTGTGTGTTTCGCATTTGGCCACAAAAGGGAAGTGTTTGCAATGCACACACAGCATGGAGAGGCAAAACCATGAGAGGCGATCAACGCAATGCCAAAATTGAATGGCACTCACAATGAATCCCGGTGAAATAGGACTGGATAACACAAACATCCCACTCACTCCGGCATTTGGGGGATTGGGGGTTTGGGCGTTCGGCTCCGGGGGCGAAGGCGGGAAAGGTTGATAAATTCAAGGCCCTCCACGTCCTAGTGGCGGATGGACCCATGTCGAGATGCCTTCGCATGAATAGTTGCTGCCGGGGCCGACCTGCAGAATGCCTAGTCGCTTCTACCTGACATGCGCCCACCATCCTGGAGAGCTCACGCCCGTGGATGTTTTGGCAGCAGCACGGTCGAAAGCACTCGTATCAAGAACGCCTCATCAAATCACCGGCCGCGCAGTAGCCTGCCATGGGAAAGGGCGAGAGTGGAGCAAATGATAAGGACACACACCCGCGTGCGCCCGCACGCGCACACACACACACACACATGCACAAGGCGCGCGCTTGGAGCTGTGCGGTAGCGTCCTTTGACCATCCAAGACCACTTGTTGCATGTCGGATTCCGGATCTCCTACGGCCGCATCGTCTATGCAGCACAGCCAGGTTATGACAAAGTACTCTCAGTCACACCTAGGTTGTCGTTTTGCCTGCTGCTCGCATCGCTTTGCCACCAGTCTTGGCTGCCCCGGCTCGATTCTTCGACGCACTGTCATCACTCAGCCTTCGACGAGGCAGGGATGTGGAACTTGCAGTTCTGTGATTTCTCTTAGGATTTAGGGTTTAGGGATTAGGGTTTAGGGTTTAGGGTTTAGGGTTTAGGGTTTAGGTTTAGGGTTTAGGGTTTAGGGTTTAGGGCTTAGGGCTTAGGGTTTAGGGTTTAGGGTTTAGGGTTTAGGGTTTAGGGTTTAGGGTTTAGGGTACGGGGGCAACCGAAAGGGGAAAAGAAAGAGTCTCAACCCTTGGCTGCCTAAATGAACTCCCTGAACCGAACCACACCAAGACGGGATTAAGGTATATGAAAAGGGAAGGGCAAGGAAACCCAAGGTTCCTACTACCCAAACCCAAGCGCAAAAACTTTTCACTGGACGGGCTGGCCATCCTTGAGCCAAAAAGGTTACCGGGTTCATTGACCCCTTTTCCTCCAACACCAACTCCTTCCTCAATACAAACTGCAGCTCCGCACTCCCCCTGTCCTAGGATTTCCTAGGACACAAACTGGAGGTGCAGACTTTTGGCCAAAAACTGCCATTAAGGCAGCAGCCAGCTGCTTGGAATGCAAGTTATGGTTTTACGTCATCCAGGACGAATTTATAGCACATTGGCTAAACACCTTTTACCATAGAGAATCTTTTTACCACCATGATTCTCTTGTCATTGAAGACACTCAGCCTTCTTCACCACGAACCGTGGTCTTCGCTACGCAAAAAGCTGTACACTCTCTACTATCAGGGATTTCCATACCCTTAATAGTAACCACCATACTTTCAGCACATTGGCTGTTCCAGCGCACTTGTCTTCAGAAAGAGAAAAACCCATTCCCTCATCAATACCATCCAGTCATCCCTTCTTCTTCTTCCGATGGGCATCGATGCTTAGGTGAAGTCGCAGCAAAACGTGCTCCAGGTCCGACACTGTAAGAACAGGATCTTGCACACACCTTTGAATTGAGGATACCAACCCCTCTCTCTTCGCATCCTCAATTGCTTGGCAGGATTGTCCCGGTTCTGCATCAACAGTAGTAGATGACTGCGCATCCACTTCAGAAGGACGATCCTTTTCTTCAGGACCTTCCACTACTACCACCTCTTCCTTCTTGGGGCTTTGACTTTTCTCTTTCTTTTTCGTCTTTCCCGAGACGCTTGCCTTAGTGCGCATTCTCGAAGAGGCCTTTTCCCCTCCAGAAACCACCGCATTGGATGATGATCCACCCATCTCAATGTTCACCGGCATCTTCTTCGGCTTTGGAACCAGAAGAGTGTATGGATCCTCACTTGCAGCAGTTTTCCTCTTCTTTTTGGCCTTTTTCTCCTCTTCCTCAACGGCAACATCCGTCTCACAGTGTAGGATCATAGGGCAATCTGAGCAAATGGGGGGGGCTGCGCCCCCCCCAACCCCCCCCGCTTTTTGATTACCTCAGAAAGGACTTTGTTGTCATTTGGATTATACTCGAATTCTCTATCAATTCTCCACTTCTCTAATTTTCGTCAATGAATACAAGAAACAAAAACAAGAAACGGGGGGGTGGAATTTACACTACTGCTCTACTTCTCTACTCATTCTATTTCAGCAGACTATAAGGCAATCTGAGCAAATGGGGGGGGGCGCCCCCCCCCTACCCCCCCGCTCTTATTAGGGGGGGGGGGGGGGGAAGAATTACTAACCCCCCCCCCCTCATACTCCCTGGAGGACTAACCCCCCCCCCCCCCCCGCCTAACTGGAGGACCAACCCTCCTCCGGCTAACTAACCCCCCCCCCCTTATACTCCCTGGAGGACTAACCCCCCCCCCCCCCCTCATACTCCCTGGAGGACTAACCCCCCCACCCCGCTAACGGCGCCATCTGGCCCCCCGCCTCCTACGGTATCCCCCTCGTGCCCCCATTTCCCCGTGTTTTGTAACTCCTTGGAGCTGCCCCTTACGGGCCTCTCCGTATGCAGAACTATGGCAAGCCCCCCACCCCCCACCTCCAGGAGCGGTGCTGCGTGGACGCCTCGCGATGCAGCGGCGGGTCGCGCCTGGGCAGCAGCCACAATCCTCCTACATGCGGTTCCTAGCTGCTCTGAGGCTGGGCGGTCGGCAGAAATACCCTGGTTAGAGTTTAGGATTGAGACTGTCGGCTGGCTTCAATGGCACCGTGGACTTTGCAGTTTGGGGTCTGAGGCTAATGGATTGGCCCAAAACGCTTTAAGGGGGAGGTTGCACCTTCGGAACAAGCCTACTTTCGGGCATTAGAACTCTCATTGTTGGCGGCAGATTGCGTCCAGCCAACTCGAAGCTTAAACCTTGACTCATATCTGCAGGGTTTCCAGCAGTATCGTTGCTTAGTATCCTCAGCCCGGGCCAGGTCTCCAGGTCTATACCCTAAACACCTCTAAGCCCGCAACCTAAAAACAGCCCGTGCCGCCCCGACTGAGCTTACGGCGGCGGTGGCGCGCCTGCACCACACGGCAAATGCAGACATGGCGCACCGACGTGCCCCACAGGTCCAGAAGAACCCATATTCACAGTTGCTGCTGAAGATTGTTTCAGGTAGCAATCCCCTTCAAAATGACAGAGCACTGGTATCTGGGCTCAAAACAAGAAGCTCGAATCTCCGGCAATCCAGGCTGAAACTAATTTCAACTCACATCCTGTAGTCACGGAAGGCCCAGCCTGCCGATGCTTTTCTCGAAATCCTTCAACTTGGGAACTTGGGAATCCCTGCTTTCCGGATTTTAGCACCACTTGGGACGGCCGAGAGCAAGCCAAGGACCCGCTCACATTTCTCTGACACCATCAGAAACTAAACCTTGAAGAACTTGATCCCATGCCACCCTAAACCCTAAAACCTAAGCCCTAAACCCTAAACCCCAAACCCCAAACCCTAAACCCTAAACCAAGCCCCACGGGCGCTGAGCGTCCCTGCTCCACTGCCGCCGCCAGCGAGACTTGGAATTCGGCAAGAACCTTGGGGGCAAGCCGAGGAACTTCCCTTCCTCGATGGCTCTAAGTGGGCGGGCCGCAGAGGGACGGGTTCCCACGGCCATGGGCCTCATCGCCTGGTGTGTTTTCTTGTGGCCTTTGCCCTTTGAAGGCTGGTGAAGGAGAGGTCTTCAAAAGAGTGCTAAGTGGAGACCAAGCTCGCAGCCTTCCGCAGGTTCCAGTGAACCCTGTAGCCTCGAACTCTAGACCCTTGTCCAACACAGGCTTCGATGTACTCTAAACCGTAAACCAGCCTAAACCTTACACCACGAAGCCAAAAAGTGTGTCTGTGCCGCTGGCCCGTGACAAATGCGGGTTGCGGATTGCCTTGCGGATGCTCAGCTTAACAAGGCCCCAAAACCATTAGCCTATGTCCGCTTCGGCCGACGGCACTGCACGTCGTGCGGACTAAACCACTATCTCTGAACCCATTATCGGACGACCAGCAGACGGCTCAGCACGTCGCGGTCTCTTAGCCCCGAACTCACGAGGTGGCCTTCGGCAGTCTTCTTGGACACAAGAGAGTACTAGAGCTACTTGGCTTCGGGTTCTGTTGGGAGGTCACTAGGAAAGTGGCTGGAACAAGAGGCGTCCCCAAATATGTTCTGGAAGCTCGGGGACCACTTATGACATATATGACGTATTCTGAAAATCAAATAGTGGAGCTATGTTGTTGCCCTTGCTGTCCTTGTCTCAGTTCCTTGTGCTTTTTGCCAAACAGTCATGCAATCGCATCCTCGACATCCGCGCGGAAACGCGACAAGAGCATGCATTCACGAGGCTCTTGGATGGCTTCGTTGCGTCCGTTCGAAATGGTCGGTCGCTTCGGGGTGTTCGAGAGCCCGTCTCGCCTCCCCCAAAGGCTGTCATCAGGTCTGCTACAAGCACCGTTTAGGGCCAAGTCAGCGTGATGCTACGGAACTCAGCCGATTTTGAAGGGGACGGGAGTGGAAGTTGGTACGAGCCGGAAGCCTGAACCTCAAGAACCTATAATAAGCCCGACATGCACGTAACACCTATGGTCCCAATCCCCGGTAGGGTTAGGGGGAAGTTGAGGAAGTCAGGTAGGCAAACTCCTGATGGCGCGCATCGTCCTTGCCCTGACGTCCGTCTCGATCTCTCTCTCTCTGCCGCTGCATCCCAAAGGTCCCACTGCGTGAGGCAGCCAAAACACCTACTCAGATCAGCAGGCGTGAAACTTACAAGCCATGTCATGCTGGAGCATCAGGCCGCTTGGCGACCTCAGACGCCGTCATCTCAGCCTTCACTCTCTCCAACCACGGCTCAGGACATTCAGACATTTCTATCACTACCTTCTGTCTCTCAGCATTCTCATCACACATCGGACACATTTCACGGCAAGCGTGAAGCAAAATATCGTCACACACAAAGAGGCGAAGATAGAACGTGTGCTGCATGACATTCTCCAGGACGCAGCGCAGGATCCCCCGCACAACCGCTGCAGTTGCCTGCGACTCCACTTCCTGCCGCACGAACACCCAGCCGTCGCTTCTTCTCAAGGTCAACAGACCAACGGCACCATGCCTAATCTGCAGAAACCACCACTCGCCACCAAAGAATGTACCCTGAACATCCCGCCAGCGCAACCCACAATATGCATCACGCACTGCTTGAAAACATACATTTCCCCCACCGGATTTCATCACCCACAGCGACTGCAGCCACCGGATACGCATGGTCTGCCAAAACACTCTATCATGAGCAGCGTCCGCATCGATGTTGCTTGAGGAAATTCTGAAGTGCGCGGTGCCCAATATTCTGCGGCCCCGTGCGAACCCCGCGCGCCCCCGCCTGCCTGTGCGCAGATTGGAAGGAGCGCAGCGCCGAACCAGTAAGATCATTCCATCCACGTCTAAACACATGCCCAGCCCAGTCCCAAACAGCTCCGGCCAACAACTCATCCCAGAACATCCCAAAGGACGCCAGCCAGAGCTTCACCGCGTGCCTCGCGTGAGAAATTCCAGCTGGGTCATGCGCTGCAACTCTCAACATCCAGCCAACCAAAGTGACTTGCAACACCCTGAGCCTCCGGAATGCTGTTTGTGTGGGCGCCACAATGCAAAGCAACCACCGAATGGACGAGGTCACCAAGGACTCAAACATGCTAAGCTTGCGCTGCCTAGACACTTGGGGATGTTTCAGAAGCACTGCATTGGTTGCAAAAGCCGCCATCGCTCTTCGAAGCAACTGATCAATCTGATGAACGTCACCGGCAGATACCTGGAGGATCATACCCACAAAACGGGCATGAGAGACATGCTGAAGCAAAGGCAAGCACTCCAAGCTTCTGGGAGCCCGCAGGCCAAGGGTGCATGTCTTGCGTATATTCAACTTCAAGCCAAGCCGAGCCAAGGTTGCGACCACACATGGCATCAATCTGCAATACTGCGCCGAAGTAGAGAAAAAACACGTGGCGTCATCAACAAACCATAGGCCCCATAGACTGAAGGCCGCAGCGATGAATGGGGGAGTTTCCCCATTTTGCTCCCACTCCTCTGTCATCACATCATAGGTGTCAGCCACGCAGTAGCTGAAAAGCACTGGAGAGTGTGTAGCACCCTGCTGCGTTCCAACCTTCTGTAAAGTTACCCACTCCTCCTGTAAGAAATGAAAGCATAGGCTGCCAGATGAAAGCACCCACGCCAGAAGTAGAAGAGAGCGCCCAACATCAGGGCGCCACCTCCGAAGCATCCACGACACAAGTGCACTGATTTTCAGGCTGTCATATGCCCCTGAGATGTCAAGCTTCACAACAACGACTGGAGCACCAACTGCAGCCACTTCCTGCAACGCAACACTGGCCAGGAATGCTGCATCAGCAACTCCTTTCCCTTTGACACTGCCAAGGCAACTCTTCGGATCAGGCCAGACAAGCAACAGTCTGCGAGTGCAAAGCTTCGTCAACACTTTCAAAACAACTTCTCCCAGTACTATCGGCCTCAGCATGCTGGCATCATCGACCCTGGGCTTCTTTGGCAACAGAACAACCCAACCCATGAGCAAGCCAGTGTTGCACAGCTCCTCTGGCGTCTCCAACATGTCATTAAACATGGAGGTCAGTCCGCGCACTCCTTGAGGACTCTGAGCAATACACTGCAGCAATTCCACACTAACCTTCGAGATACCTGTAGTCTTGCCCGTCTTCATGGACTTCAGGCAATCCTGAACTTCATCCTCGCTGAAAGGTTGCTCATCGGCATGCAGACCACGAAACAAGGAAGGCACATCCACCCCATCTTCAGGTAACGAAAACTTCTGGTCAAAGAAGCTCTTAACCTCCTGGGCCACTTGCATCGTATTCCCATGGTGAAGGACAACCATCGGCCACAGCGCCGACTGCAAGGACTGTTTTTTTCAGCAAAAGTCTCCGAGCACGCCAATTGCCCGACGCCGCCTGGTGCACCAGCCATGTCCGCCACTTCGCTTTTGCGTCCTGTCTGGACTTGGCAATGTCAAAGGAAAGTTGTTTGCGAACAGCCGGATCTGGACACGCAGAGCGGTTGCGACACAGGGCACGCACTGGAGCAGGATCTTTGTAGCGGAGACTGCATTGAGGGCTCGAAGCCACAGCGGCGAGGTCTCGCAACCGCTGCAGCCGCTGGTCCAAGGGCCCATCTGTCCGAGGTTCATGAGCCCAGCACTGGACAACCTCCGGGCTCGTCACCACCATCTTTCTGGGCATGCGGGACCACAACTGCCGTCGCCGGACTGCAAGCAAGGGATCCTTCGTTGCATTCATGAGGGTTTCAGCAATCACACACGCATGGTCAACTCCCAACATCTTTTGCACATCATGCCGAACTGTATAGTCTGCCCACGGCGCAGCCCCATCCTCGCCGACATTGGCCGCCTGGTTACAATACACATTGTTGCTAAGAACATAGTCAATCGTTCTATGGCGCCACGTAGATCCCCTGTTATCTGAAAGGACTGTTGTACCAAGGGCCTCAAGCATGCTGCAGACAAGCAAACCACGATCAGACCCCGTCTCATCGTGGTGAAGGTCAAAGTTGAGATCACCCAACAGGATTATCGGCATCCCTTGCTGCACCTGCCTTGCCACGGAGGTGACGACGCTCTCACACGCTTGTTGCAAGTCAGACAGAGGCCGGCCAGAATGAGGCAGATGGACATTCAGAAATAACATCGGTCGTCTCACGAGGTTGACGCAGAGAGAGATGTGACAAAACCCCACATCGAACTTCCCCGCAGATACCTCGTCACTATCCTCAAGGCAAAATGCAAGTTGTCTATGACAGCCAGGCGGATGCCCAGAGAGAACCATGTATCCATGCAAAACACGACACTGAAGATCTCGCATCAAAGAGATATCCTCGTCTGCAACATCTCCTTTGGGGTTGTTGCACTCCTGGAGGGCAATCACATGCGCATCAACACAGGCATCCTCAAGGATCTGCAATGTGCTGTTCCATGGCTTGCCTTGGGTATTCCATGAGGCAAACTGCACCAACCGAATGGCAGGCGCACTGGATGAATTCTCACACGTGGGACCTGGTGAAACCAAATGCTGGTCTGCGCTTCACTGGAAATGGCTGTCCCAAAGGATAGCCACATCCTCAGGCGTCCTTTGGGCGAACCTTGCAATCTCATGCACATCGGCTGCAATGCTGACGCCAGTTTTGGCATGCTGCAGCAGCATCTTCTCATTGGCATGGAGCTGATTGTTAGCAACCTTGCGTGTCACCCTGTTTTCCCCAAGAAGAATTTCGCCTGGGTCCACGAGCCAACCTCAAGGCTCTGCTTGGCAACTCCGAGCTTCGTAGACAAGAACTCGGCTAACATAGCGACACCTTTGCCGACCTGACGTAACTCCGGAGGCTTGTCAATGGAGCACCAGAGAGGCGCAGTCATTGTCGAAACGAGTTTGTCACGCACTTCCATCTGCTGACGACGCTTTTCCGACACGCTCAGGTCAGGGGGAAACCTCAGCACCACCTTGCCAGCGGTAGGACGCCTGCCGAAAAGGCGTATCTCCAACACCTTTTCTGACAAGAGTGCCTCACTCAAAACCCCATTGAGCTGATCAAGAACGGAGTCTCTGGAGCAACCTTCTTTCCATCCACCCACCACAATGTCAAAAGAAACATCATCGGGGGGGGGAGCTGCGCGGAATCCGGCATGCGACCCGGGCGATACCGGTGACGTGGGCCGAGACCCTTCTGCCTTTTGTAGTTCCACTATTTCAGCCTGCAAAGCATCCATTCGCTTGGTTTGCGTTTCCATCATGTCCTCCATGTTCCTGCCAAGCTCTGTTTGGCGAGATTCGATGTCTCTGATTTGAACACTCTGGGCAGCTTGACCTTCATGGAGCACTTGCAAGGACTGGGTCACTGGAGCAAGGTGCAAAGCAAAATTGTTCGCCACCGCTGATTGGATTGCCAAGAGCATCTCTTGTTGCATCAACGCCCCCTGCTTCGCTCGCTTCTGGGGAGATTCATCCCCATCAGCTACAGAAACGATCTGCAAATCATCCGACATGCCTCACAAAGCACAATGGCACGGCTAATCTCAGCTCTTGAGTGGCCTTGAGCCAAAATGGCGGCTCCCTTGAGCCAAAATGGCTTGAGCCGTAGTCTCGATATTAGGCTATAATCCGGATTCCAAAAATCAAGTTGGACACATTCAACCCCAAACCCTGAACCGGTCTAAGACGCCGGTCTAAGGCCCTCTCTCGGTGCAGTCAAGTTCTGTTCTCAAGGTCACGAATCAGATACAAGCGACTTGCGCATCAGCACAATTTTTGCGCATTTCTACAAGAACGCCAAACTGCAACAACGCGCATGAGTTGTGCATAAGAAGTGCCCTCAGGCCGAAGCCGAGCAGTTCATGCTGTGAGATCAAGGCATGGGTGGGCCGCATCTTGCAAAAATCGACGAAGGTTTGAGGGGTTTAGGGTTGAGGTTTCTTTTCTTCTGGGGTTTAGGGTTTGGTGTCCAGCCTTCACCGGACGCAGCTGCTGTGGCAGGGCCTGGACTGGATTTGCTTGGACCCCTTGCCATATTCTTTCGCCTGTTCCCTCCTTCACCTTGAAGCGAGGATGTTTGCGACACTCCGCTAGCAGAATGGACAGCTCTGAGGGCTCAACTTGCGATGCTGCTGCCGACCTGGCTCGGAGCGTTGCCAGGAACATGCCGAGGGCCAGAAAAAAAGCCACTCGTCCGGCAGAAGAAACTCAAGCCCCTGACATCAAGCGGTTGGCCGCCGTGTCCTTGCAAACACACATGCAGACCACACCGGGCTGGCAGGCGCGGCACACATTTATCAACTTTATGGTGCCGTCAACCCGCATGACCCGAGCTTGCTGGCACTCTTTATGGCGGCCTTAACACACTCTAGCAGTGGCGGCACAGTGATTGCTACGTGGCTAGAAGAGACTCAAAGAGCAGCTGTTGCCATCTTCTCCAGACAGCTGGACTAGTCATGGTCACTCAAGCTTACGCCTTAGCCCGACAGACTCACATGGCCGGTTTAGATGGGGGCACTGCAAAAACGTAGGTCACCCAATGAATACATCGCCGGGGATATGTTTTGCACAACTAATTAAGCACAGCATTCTATCAGCCGTGCTCACAGCTCAGTTGCAGCTTGTCTAAGCTCACAGAAGGACCCGACACACCCATGCAAAAATGGAAAAGGCGCTTTCGACACACCCTTTGTGCAGACGTCACCCTATCTGGTCAACATCTTGGACAAGTGGTCCTGTGCTACCAACCTTTCTTCCAGGATGATGTCTAGCATGATGCGGGAACACATTGACCCCCCGGATTCCTGACGAGCGCGGATGAAGGAGTTACACGGCTTCTCACCTCAGGCACGCAGACAAACAGTCGATGTCAGCATGACCCTAAAGCCTCGCTGTTGCGCAAAGCGTTGTCAAGATCAAGACGCTCAGACTACACCAGGTGGGAATAAACTATTGCTCTTACTCAGCACGCTGCGAATGAAAACCGAGCCCAAATAGTTACTTGCCATTTCACTGTACTTGTCTGATTTACTGTTGGCCGCTTGTAGCTCCGACCGGCCACCAGCAAGGTTCAGGGTAGTTTGGGCTCTTGCACCGAGAATCAGACTGCAGAAGTATCACTGTGTTGGCTCTAGTAGCTGCATCGGGTACTCGCGACAGTTTTGAATTCTTAGCAACTCTCAGCAAACGACTCCGACCAAATCCCCAAAGCTTTTCATCCGGAACCCTCCGGTGTCTGAGCTGAAGTCGCCCCCGCCCTCTGGGCTTTGGGCCTTTGGGGCCCGGGCGCGCGAGCAGCAACTCGACACCCCCGGGCCTCTTGCAATACCTCAGCCACGGTACAGGTTTGGAGTCAAATTGGCTCAACGCTTCAGAATGTTTCAAGTTTTCAGGGCAAGGCAAGACCCCACAAGACAAGCAACTTTGACGTGAGAACAATTATACTGGCGCGAACGTCACCATGACTCTCATGGGTTGGGCCAGGCATAGCCTGATGGTGTACTTGCGGCCCAGGTTGCGGAACGAGGCCCGCAGCCGAGTAGCGCCCTGCATCGAGGGGCCGCAGGCTCTTGGCCACATACCTTTTGGCAGATGCAGATGCTTTGTCGTGTGTAGACTGTATGCCGCGCGAATGCTTTGTGAGGCACGGATGCCGATGTCAACTGTCCTTGGCCTTCATGGCAGGCTTAAACCTCAGGAAGCTCTCCCGACCTGGCCCCAACCCTCAGTATATCTCAGCATCGGCAAGGGCACGTGTTGGATGATAGGCCGCCTGGGCATCAGCAAGGCGAAACTCGTTTCATACTCCCTCTCTCTCTCTCTCTCTCGCTCTCGCTCTCTCTCTCTTCTTCTACTCAGCGGAGAGGCCCCCCCCACGGAGGACTCTCTCTCTCTCTCTCTTTCTTGGGGCATGAGGCCGGGGTCCCTCCCTCTATCCCAAACGACGCTTTCCTTCGCTCCCTCGCTGACAGACATAGTTGAGCAAAGGTGACTAAAGGCTGACCGCGAGCACTCTCAAGAACAAACCGAGCTTTTAATCGCAGCAGTCTGGGTGGCAATTGGCTCACGTGAGTCCCTGCCTGGTTGCATGCTGTACATGCCGACGGTGCCCATGTGACCCATGCAACTCGTGCCACCCATGCATCCCATACCTTGGCGGAGTTGGGCAGCTCTTTTGCTGCCCTTGGTTCGAAACTTGCATGGGGCATGACCGCCGGAATCCCCACACTGGCTGTAGACTTCTTCCACGCTTCGAGTGCACATGTACACATGCTATCTTGCCGACGTGACACCGACATTGGGCATGGGAGACATGCCTCTCAAGTGCAGATGGCACGCTTCGAAGTGTTGCCTAATTGTTTCGTTAGCTATTTATTTGCGCCTCTTGACTTTTTGGTTACTTGCATCGACATGTGTAATCACAGCTACAAATCCTGAAATCGCAAGGCCCCCAGACAGGCCTCCCATGACGGGGACATTGCCACCGACAGGGATCATTGCGGGGCCCGGCGCCTTGGTCGTAAAGTACCAGGCAATAGGAGTTTAGGGTTTAGGGTTTAGGGTTTAGGGTTTAGGGTTTGGGGTTTGGGGTTTAGGGCTTAGGGTTTAGGGTTTTTAGGGTTTAGGGGTTCAGGTTTGCAGAAGAGGCTGAACAAGGCAAACAACTTAATCAACTTTCGGGTTTTGCAAGGGGAAAAAGGGGGGGGGGGGTGGCCTGCTTGCCCCCGCCCCAAAGAACAATCACCATTTTGGTATCGGGCTTGGAGAGAACCTTGAAGACTGTGGCTTCCAGTCTTAGCCTGTTTCATCCCCTAAAGGGTACATATAACAGTTTTAGGGTTTAGGGTTTAGGGTTTAGGGTTTAGGGTTTAGGGTTTAGGGTTTCCTCCAGGATCTTCCAGGATTCTGATGCCAAGCGGGGGGCCGGCGCGGGCATCGGCAGACGGGCGGTGCACGATTCAGGAGGGTCCCTCTGGAGCCTAAAGTCAAACGGCATGAGCTCTACAAGAATCCCTTCTCTTCTGGCTCGAATTCAAAGAAAAGAACAATAGCAACATGAAAAGCAGAGCGACCGGCTGTTGGCCATGATCAAAAGCAGGCAAGCATGCACAAGAAGTACTCGGAGCACAGTCGCAAGAACCAACAGCGCTACAACAAAAACCCAAACAAAAAATGAAGCCGGCGTTGAGGTAGACCTCGGTAGCCTAGGGTAGAGATGGAGCGCGTTGCGCTTCCGACTTGCTCTTCTGTAGAGCCATGAGGTGTTGTCTGGAAACCGGACTTGAAGCGTTTTGATTTAAGTTTAGGGGGTGGGGGGGAGGATTTGTCGTGAAGGTAAGAAGTTGGTTCGGGCTGCTTGTTTACGATTAACCATGGATTCTCAACTCTCTCGGCCTTGCCTCTTGGTGGGACCTCCTGGGGGCTTTGGGAATTCAGAGCTGCACACTGACATGCGCTTTTGACCATCGCCACGGTCCGCCACCCCTGCCTGCTGTGGTCTCAATTTGGACTCGATTTCTACATGCATCTAATGCGGCCGCTGGGGCGCTGGAAACAAGGTTATGTACAATCACAGCGCTACCCCAGAGCATCCAAGCGGATCCAAGCGGATTTCCGCAGGGAGAAGAAAATTCTCTGAGACCTGCGCCTCAGCTGAATTCGGGCAGTACCTTAGCGGCTGGAAAACCCCAAGGCAACAAGAGTTGTGTGGCTGAGCTCTGCTTGCTACACGGATACGATAAAGCTGCCCGCCACCTGTCTTGAGAAAACTACAGAACTGCGTAGCTTGGTGTGGAGGGCACCATAGACCCTTCCCTTCGGACATCTGGATGGCTTTTAGAAACCCTGCAGAATGCGTAGCATCTTAGAAGTAAACACCCTCGCATGCAGTGCAAGCAGCTCAGGACATCTCAAGATTCTCGAAGCCTCCCGTTGAAGCCCTGCTTCGCAGTGCCAAGTTCTTCTCACGCACTTCGATATCCATGCTTTGTCATCCAAACACAGCATGCAAGCAGACAGCATCCCAGACACCACGTGACCGACCAACTTTTGCTGCTCGCTGCGTACGCGTCATGTCCTCTTGATGAAGACCTCGTCATACACGTCTATAACGTCGCACTGGATCTGGTCTTGGCCATGGGGCGATTCCTTGAAGGCCAACAGCTGAGCTGCACTACTCCCCACGTCCAGGAGTCTGCATCATTTCAACTCTACCACAAGTGTACTCGCTGCATAATCTCTAGCACCAGCGTCCAGGCCCAGCTTGGTTGTGAACCGGAGGGTGGCGCATTGGTACATCCGCGAAGATGGGTCACAACCTTATTCACAACCGGACTAAACCCTAAACCCTAAACCCTAAACCACAGCTGCATGGGTTGCTGCATGACCAGCTGTTAGCGCGCCTTGTGTTGAGATATCGTCGCCCATGGCATCGTCAGCATGATCTTGCACCGTCCGCTGGATGAACTGAAAGCCTTCCTTGAGGCAGCCTAGTGTCAGCTTTAGCGCCTCGCCCAATGGGCCGGCGTCCATACCTCAGTTCTACTTCAGCAGCTCGGGCATTGTGCCACCTGCTTCGCAATAAGAAAAGCGTCATGCCCTCTGCCCTGAACCCACAACAATTCCTTACGCATATACACTGCTCACAGCAAGCCTTTGCATGGTCATGGGCCGAGTCGCACGAGATGTTGTAATTCACGTGTTGCTTGAGACGTGCTCCACCCACCATGTACTCGCCTGAAAACCCACCCTTTCAGCAAGCAAGACCCTTTCACAAAGCTTCTTCCCCGACCTTTATCGTCAGCCACTGAATGACGTGCCGTGCATGTGATCCCAACCTGCTCTGGAGCAGCGATCCAGGTTGGCCAATCCACACTGCCTGGTTGCCAAAGCATTCATGACTCATGCCGAGGACGCCCTCCACTGGCCAAAGCCAAGCCACGACATTTGGGTTGTAACGGCTTGGAGGAGGCACAATGTGCCATGTTCTGTGAGCTGACGCCGTTTGCAAAAGTCGATGAGGAACTGCTCCAGGGCCGTAACCTGATTGAATTTGGGGCATGCATGCACTTCAAGGAAAGCCTATCACCAGAGGGGCGCCAGCTCCATGCGAAAATCGAGAAGGGCTTGCTTCCTTTCCTGCAGGGTCACGGAGAAATGGCACTTCATTTCAACACATTTTCTGTGTGTTCCTTTTCTTAGGTCTGGCTCAAGCTGATGGCAATTGCAGGGTTTCTGGTACAGAAGGCTTGTAACTTGTCTTGTTTTCCAAATTTCCATCTCCTGGGTAGGTAAAGAAGACTGTTTATGTAAGTTAGGCCAGCTCCAAAGCGCTCCAAATCCTAGCAATTACAATATTCTTAACGGTTTGGGAAAGGAGTCGCATGTTGTAAACCCACATCCCTAGTTCATGGCATGATCTTCTTTCTTCATCAGGCAAGCCTGGAGCTTGCACAGCAGCCAGCCTCCCCCCCCCCCCCCCCAATTTGCCCAAACGCAGGGGAGAAGAAAGGATTCGCGTGTTCAACGATTTTCCGCCTAAAAGCAAGTTTGCAGTTTGCACGGTGTTAAACACAAAAAACGGGGTTGGGTCGGGCCTCGTCCATCTGCACACATTGCGCTCGTATGAGGGGTTGGGCAGGCAGCAAGCATTCGTACTCAATGCTTAAAACGTCCTGTCTTCATGGCATGATCTTGCCTTATACGGTACGCTTGCAGCTTGTCCGTCTTAAAACCAAAACCGGGATGGGTGCAGGGTTTGAAAGAATTTCTGGTGGGTGTGTGCGTGTGTGTCTGTGTGTGTGTGTGTGAGTGTGTATGTTGTGTGTGTGTGTGTTCTGGTGTGTGTGTGTGTATTCTGGTGTGTGTGTGTGTATTCTGGTGTGTGTGTGTGTGTGTATTCTGGTGTGTGTGTGTGTGTGTGTGTATTCTGGTGTGTGTGTGTGTGTGTTCTGGTGTGTGTGTGTGTGTGTATTCTGGTGTTTGTTGTGTGTGTAATTCTGGTGTGTGGTGTGTTGTTTCTGGTGCGTGTGTGTGTGTGTGGTATTCCTGTGTGTGTTTGTGTGTGTGTGTCTGTGTTTGTGTGTGTGTTTGTGGTGTGTGTGGGGATCTGGTGGTTTGTGTGTGTATTCTGGTTGTGTGTGTTGTGTGTGTGTGTGGGTGGTGTGTGTGTGTGTGTTGTGTTGTGTGTGGCTTGTGTGTGGTTTGTGTGTGTGTGTGTGTGGGTGTGGGTGGTGTGTGTGTGTTGTAATTATGGTGTGTGTTTGTGTGTGTGTTTGTGTGTGTTTGTGTGTGTGTTTGTGTGTGTTTGTGTGTGTTTGTGTGTGTTTGTGTGTGTTTGTGTGTGGTTGTGTGTGTTTGTGTGTGTTTGTGTGTGTTTGTGTGTTTGTGTGTGTGTTTGTGTGTTTGTGTGTGTTTGTGTGTTTGTGTGTGTTTGTGTGTTTGTGTGTGTCTGTCTGTCTGTCTCTGTGTGTGTGTGTGTGTTGTGTGTGTGTTTGTATGTGTGTGTGTGTGTGTGTGCGTCTGTGTTGTGTGTGTGTGTGTGTGTGTGTGTGTGTGTGTTGTGTGTGTGTGTGTGTGTGTGTGTGTGTGTGTGTGTGTGTGTGTGTGTGTGTGTGTGTGTGTGTGTGTGTGTGTGTGTGTTGGTGTGTGTGTGTTGGTCTGTGTTGGTCTGTGTTGGTGTGTGTTGGTGTGTGTTGGTGTGTGTTGGTGTGTGTTGGTGTGTGTTGGTGTGTGTTGGTGTGTGTTGGTGTGTGTGTTGGTGTGTGGGTGCGTCGGTGTGTGGGTGTGCTGGTGTGTTGGTGTGTTGGTGGGTGTGTTGGTGTGTTGATGTGTGTTGATGTGTGTTGATGTGTGTTGGTGTGTGTGTGGGTGTGTTGTGTGTGGTGTGTGTGTTTGTGTGGTGTGTGTGTGTTGTGTGTGTTGTGTTGTGTTGTTGGTGTGTATGTTGTGTGTATTGTGTTGGGTGTGGGGGTGGGTGTGGGGTGTGGGTTGTGTGTGTTGTGGTGTGTGGTTGTGTTGTTGTGTGGGGTTTGTGTGGGGTGTGGGTGTGGTGTGTGTGTGTGTGTTGTGTGTGTTGGGTTGTTTGCGTGTGTGTGTGTGGTTGGCCTTTGTGTTTGTTGTGTGTTGTGGTGTGTGTTGTGTGGGGTGTGGTGTGTTGTGGGGTGTTGGGTGGTGGGGTGGTAGTGGGGGGGGTGTGTGTGGGTTTTGTGTGTGTGGTGGGTGGGGTGTGTGTTGTGTTGTTGTGGTGGTTGTGTGTGTGTGGTGTGTGTGTTGATGTGTGTGTTGTGTGTTTTGTGTGTTGTGGTGTGTTGTGGTGTGTGTGTGTTGTGTTTGTGTGTGTGTGGGGGGGGGTTGTGTTGTGTGTGTTGTGTGTGTTGTGTGTGTTGTGTGTGTTGTGTGTGTTGTGTGTGTTGTGTGTGATGTGTGTGTTGTGTGTGTTGTGTGTGTTGTGTGTGTTGTGTGTGTTGTGTGTGTTGTGTGTGTTGTGTGTGTTGTGTGTGTTGTGTGTGTTGTGTGCGTTGTGGGTGCTGTGTGTGCTGTGTGTGTTGTGTGTGTTGTGTGGGTTGTGTGTGTTGTGTGCGTTGTGGGTGTTGTGTGTGTTGTGTGTGTTGTGTGTGTGTGTTGTGTGGGTTGTGTGTGTTGTGTGTG